TTTACTCATCTTGTTCTGAAATCACAAATTCCACTTGACAATGTGATAGGGCAGGATTATATTTTTAAACTTTGAGAGCCATACTCCAGAGCTGTGCCAGAAGTAACAGTTTCTTGTGTCAAAAATAACTTTCTCCTAAATCCCTCAGTGGAACTGACCTGGCTGGTTGCATTTAGAATGTTGAAGCTGCCCGAGTTGAGACGGAGCTCTGTCAGCTTTCTGCGGGGGGCGGGGGGCTGGGGGGGTCCTTTCTCTAACGACTGGTGGAAGGAGAGCTTCTCCGCTGTGTCGGCCTTCCGCGGGGGCTGGGGGGGTCCTTTCTCTTAACGACTGTTGGAAGGAGAGCTTCTCCACAGTGTCGGCCTTCCGCGGGGGGCGGGGGCTGGCGGGGTCCTTTCTCTAACGACTGGTGGAAGGAGAGCTTCTCCGCATTGCCTGGTGTTCTCTCTCTGGTACATCAGCCGGTGGTGGTGTCATTGAGGTGTGAGTCGTCTGCTTTTGCAGCGGTGTGACCGGGTGGGTCAGAGTCTGTTGTGGTTGTGACGTCTGAGTCTCATGAGACTGGGAGGGTGTGTGTGAAGCACTGGTGGTAGCAGCTCACTGCTCTTGTGTCATTCCTGGGTCTGGTGGTCAGTCCCAGGGTGGCCTTTCATGCCTGCTCTGGGTCACAGCTGTGGGCAGGTCTCCAGGAGGTGCTTGAGTGTCATTACCTGGCCTTGCCCGGCTCTCTGCGCTGCCCTGCCTCCCTGGCCTCTCGGCTGTGACTCCAGCAGGACTCACAGGTGTGGCCGAGGTGGCGGACTTGCTGGCTGTGCCCGGGGGTTCCCGGTGGCCTTGTGAGGAAGGACCTTCCTGATCTGCAGCCCATGCACAGACAAGCCGACTCAGGAGATGGCCTGAAGCTTCTGATTTTGTGCCCATGGTTCTTGCTGTTCTCGACTCGTTAGTTATGCAAGCCAATAGTTTTTTGTTTTGTTTACACCAGTTTGAGTTGGGTTTCACTTGCTTACAGTTGGGAGGTTCCTGACTGATGAGATCTTTGTTACATGAAGTACACCACCATGTGAAGTTTGCGTTTCTGTTTATTATGTGGAAGATTCTCCTGGCTTTCATGCCCTCTGTGAACCTGGAAGCTAAGGCAGAGCCGCTCACTGGTGTTGGGGTGGGGAGAGCCTTTTGGGTGGCGAGCTGGGCACCTGCGGGTGGGGGTGCCCCGGCCCCGTCAGGCGTGCCGGCGCTCTGCAGGCCCGGTCCGCAGGAGTGGCCGCTGGGTTTTAGAAGAGAGGGAGTCGGACCCCTGGAGGCTCTGAGGCGGGTTTCCGCAGGGACCCTCCCTCCTGAAGGCGGGGCCGTGGCCCTTCCCTGGACGGGGAGGGTCTGGCGACTGGGGCCTGCCTGTGGGAGACAGAGCCATGTGCTCACCAGGCTGCGGGCTCCTGAGCCACGGCTTGTGGTTGGGCGTCTGGGTGTTGGGGTGACTTGTTACGTTGATAGGTGCCTGGAGGTGGCAGGTGCCCTGCGCTCTGTCTCCCTTCATCCCCGGATCCTACCTTCCTTCCCGGCTTGCGTGGCCCCTGCGGAGGTGCTGACGTGCGGGGAGAGGGGACGTCTCCTAAGAGAGCCCTCTGAGGGCGAGCTGGAGGCCCGGGGTCTTTCTGGGAGATTCCTTGAGCAGGCCTGTGAAGCTCATCTTTAGGGTTTGGAAGGAAGGAAGACCTTTGCTCTAGAGCGGTCAGTGCTGTTTTGGGAGGGGACCGACTGAATAGCAGGGAATTCTGTGACTCAGCCAGCCTAAGGGGTTTAACTTTTACCATCCAGTGTGCCGACGGTCCAGCTCTCCATGGCCTGACCGCGGCACTTAATACCTTTCTTCCGCTGTGTGTTCTGGAGCTGTACTCTGCTGAGGAGTCAGCTCTGCTGGGGAAGACGTGGTTTATGTCCCGCTCTTACCCGAGGAGGCTTGCTCAGCAGCAGCCCCCCACGACCCCGTGGCTGACCACTCGGGAGGTGTGTCCTGCCTGTTGTGCTGGCTGCGGAGACGGCCTGGCTGTGCCGAGTGGCCTCGTTATCCTGGGGTCCAGGCCGTGGGAGCAGCTCCTGAGCGCTGTGCCCTTACGCCAGAAGGTTCCTGAAGCTTCTGTGGGGATGTGAAGACACCGTCCTGCTCAGGGCGGGTGCCTGTGCTCACGTCTCGTTGGCCGGCGGTGGGTGCGGGACGCCCACCCCACATCTGGGGAGGGGCCGAGTGGAGGCTGAGAGACTGAAGTTAGCCGGGGGAGCTGGAGGGCAGCGTGAGGCACGTGGTTTCTGGGCTGGTCGGTGCTGGCTCTTGCCTTGGACCTCGGAAGCCGGTTTTACCATGTTATTGGTGACGCCTTCGAGAGAGTCACGGGGCTGCTCCTGCAAAGCATAGTCGTCTTCTGGCCGGGGGTCTCAGAGCTCTTGCTCTCGTGGGAGGGCCCCTGACTGCATCGCCCCGCTGGTGGGTGCTGGTGACGGCTGGCGTGTGGCCGCCTCATCTCTTCCTCGGGGACAGGTGAGCCCTCCTGTGTCCATTGTTAGTTCAAGGACCAAGCCTGATACCACGTGTGATGCTGAGTGTAAGGAAAGAGCGTGGCAGAGGGTGGGGCAGAACGGGAGCGAGCGTGAAGGCTGGGAGGTCGAGGTCGGCTGGGGGAGTGATGGTCGGGCTTAGCCCTCCCGTGCCGTGTCACGGCCAGTGCGCTTGGGGGCTCCGGGTGCTGGGTGCTCGAGAACCTGCCTTCTCTGCTGCACCGGTGGGGGTGGGACGCTAGGCGGGTGGACTTCTGTCTGCGAGCGTCGGTGCCCTGATGGACTGAGGTGGCCACCGGCAGAGGGTCCATGGGCTGGCAGGCTTGTCTCCGAAGTGTGAGTGCCCCGGGGTAACTGTGTGCACCCTTATTCCCACTTTCTCTGAACCCTGAGTTTTTCTTTTGTTGAATAGATTCCTGTTTCAGGAAGTAATCGGTTATCTTTCTCTAGAGAAACCCTTTAGTCAGAACATCTGTTGACTCAGAATGTGCGTCTTCCCCTCTAGGTGGCAGGCACTTGTCTGGTCTCATTGTGTAGCTTCCTGTTGAGAAGTGTGATGTGTGTGTGTGTGAATTCACTTAAGTTCTGACATCACTTTGGAGCCCATTGGTGGGCTGCTTCAGCCAACCAGACGCTTCCTGGTGTCCAAGTAAGATATATAGTTCTGGAATAACAGGAAACTTCAGCTTTCAACATCCTGTTTTTCTGGGTTTTGTGACTCTCTGCCTCACCACAATGAAGGTTAGTAGATACTTTTATGTATATTTTTTCTTGCAGAATACTACAATTTGAATTTTCCAAGCTCTGGAATTAGGACTTGAGAGCTGAGACCACCTCCCACCTTTTCCAGGAGAAGGAGCTTTTGTGTTCTAACAGAAGGGAGTGGAGGCCTGTTCAGGGCCCTCCTTTTAATAAAGAACTCAGCCAGCCCATTGCAGATGCAGCTGCACATGTCCGCCTGGATCACGGTCTCCTCTGACTTGAACTATAGTCTGTGTCACACGGGGATTCCAAAGACTGACCGAAGGGGTACTCGTTTTCACAGGCGGGCAGGATCTGGCATCAGGAATGTTTTATCTCCTGCTCCGTTCATGAGGAAGGTGTGAGCAGTGTCGTTGAGAGCTTGAGTGTCTGAGCTCAGGACTCCCTTCCCCTCTCCCAGCGCTGTTTGCATGCCTCCCTCCCCCAACTTGGGTTTAATGGCCTCCTTTCTGGAGCTGGTTGTTCCAACTCTTGGGTTTTCCTTCTTTGGTTCATGTCTAAATAAGCACACCTCATGAGGATGTTTGCTCATCTCGGAAGTTAAGACAGGAGACTGGACTGGAGACGGCGTGGTTACTGAGATGTGGAGCAGCCCAGTGTCCTGGGTCTGTCCTCACAGCAACATGCCGAGGGGTGGAGGTGGGCGTGGGAGGCGGGCGGGTCGGCGCCTTCTCACTGCGTGTGGCCGTCCTCTGCATGTTGGGCGTGAGGTCTGCCGCTGTGGGTTTCAGTTTTTGGGGCGGCCCGCGCCCGAACCGTGCAGTGTGCCAGGGCCTGGCTGGCCGTGCTGAGTCCGCCGGGGGCTGCGGGAGCTGGGAGTAAGAGTTAGCTGCGCAGGGGGCGGGGGGCAGGAAGGGGAGCCGGGCTTCCTGGCCGGATGTGAGACGCAGGAACCGTGAACCGGGGCAGAGATGGTGGGCGACCTGCAGAGGAAGTCATTCCTGGGATGACTGGCCACGGGAGTTCATTTTTGCCCCAGTGAGAGAACCTTTGAAGTATGTTCACATAGTTTTCATTTCGGCGTATGAATCTGTTAATTGCATCTCTGAAAGAATTCCCCTACCTTTCCTGGCACAGAATTGTGGGTAATCTGACAGTTAAGTTCTTTGGTGGGGAAGTGGGGTTCTTCAGACAGCGTTTGGGACTGAGGCACGCGTCTCAGCCCGTGCTGTTTGGGCCCGCGTCCTAGACCGAGCGCTGTGTCTGGGCAGTCCTACGTGCGCGCTCTGTCGGCTCCTGGGCGGGCGGGGCCGGGGCTGATGCAGCATGTCCCTCCTTCTGGAATTGCCTCCCTGCTTCCTCTCCCTCAAGTCGTGTCCACTCTGACGTCTGGGCTTCCCTTCAGCTGCTCTTGACTTTGGCCTCGGCTGTGACTAGGAGAGGAAGTCTGTCGTAGGCGTGCCTGGCAGCCTAGGCTTCAGTCTAAGGAAAGAGCCCTCTCTGAGTGCCAGGAGTGCCCCAGGTCGCTGGGGGTGTGGGGCAGGGTGGTTCAGAAATGGGCTCAGCCCCAGGAGCGGAGTGGCCCCGGGAGGGGGTCTGGCCCGGTCTCCCGGAAGCTGAGCTCCTGGGGTGCCCTGCCCGGGTCTCACCTGCAAAGCCCGTTGTCTTCCGTGCGCCCCACAGAGCCGCCCCGTCCCGCCCTGGTGCCGGGCTCGGCTAATCCTGCTGCTCTTTTTCCCTCGCAGACGTTCGATGCAGGCGACCTGTATCAGGGGCAGAACTTCAGCAAGGTCCTCAGCTCCTTGGTGACGCTGAATAAAGTAACAGCAGGTGAGTGTCCTTCTGCTCAACTGGAGGTAGGCGGGCGGAGCCCAGGGCAGAAACCTCGCCCTCCATCAGCCAGACAGCGTGAACGTTACTGAGCTTAGAAAGGATTGCACTAAATTGTTGGCTGTGACTTTGCTGCGATATTGTTATCTTTCCTTGTTAGAGCAGCTCTTCCTCTCAGGTCCTTGTGTGTCCCAGTGCTTTCCCTCCTCTGCCTGAGGGAGCAGCAGAGGGGCCCTTGTCCAGGGTGCACGCGTGGGCTGGCCCTTCAGATGGGGGAGAACTGGGCCCCAGGGGCCGCCCCCAGGACCCTCACATCGCCTGTTTGCTGAGGGGGCTGCCCTGCCTCCCAGAGGTCCAGGCCCGGCTTCCGCTGTCCAACCTTGACCGTGGCTGGCAGTGGAGGCGCTTAGCTGTTGCAGTGGCAGCACCTCGGGTCACGCTGAATTAGGACCCAGGTGAGCGAGTGTAGACGAGGGTGAGGGTCTGGATCCTGGAGGAGAAGGGTGGAGAAATGGCTCCTAGATGGACATCAGCGCTCCACCCGGAGGAGGCCTCGCAGGAGGAAATGTGCGGCGTTTCGTGAAGGTCGCCCGTCAGGCAGCGTGCTGCCTCCAGGGCCCCCACGGCAAAGGTGTGGACTTGATGTGAGCACACAGTGAGGGGCAGCCGGCTGTGTGCAGCCAGCCCGGCACGTGATAGCAGTGCTTCCCCCGTGACTGCAGGCCCCGGCCCGCCTCGGTCGCCCCCAGCCGCCAGGGCCACGGCCAACGGGCTGTCCTGGGGCTGGGCGTGCACTCGGGCCGCAGGCAGCAGCAGCTTCGGCATATACAGACCCCATGCGAGCCTGGGGGAGAGATGGCGGGTTGGCTCTTGCCCTGGAGGCGTCTGTTTTTGGGGTCGGAAGGTGAGAAGAGGGGCCCGGAGGATGCTTCTGCTCTGTCCGCCAGGTGGTGACGCTCGGTCATCGAGGCGGGCGTGCTGGGCTCCACATGTCCCGTGTAGACACAGCCCGGGGCCGTGTCTCCAGGGCACCCATGCCATCGCTCTCACCCCACCTGGAGAAGATGTGTTTCTCGTATGTTCTTGACGTCCCTGGGTGCAGAACGCAGAGCGCTGTTCTTTACAAAGACCTGCTTGGACATTGTGGAGTGAACTCGGTGCTTCTCTCTTCAGCTCTGAAACAAGGCCAGAACCTTGTCAAGTGGGAGAATTCTCTGCCTTTGGTTTGTTGGCCACTGCTCTTCATGCTTGATTTTGGAGTCAGTGCAGGTGGCCATGCCTTTGCAGATGTCAGCTGTGAGGGGCCAACTCAGGTGTAAGACGGGCTTCCCTGGCGGCTTGCTGGTAAGGAATCCACCTGCCAAGCAGGAGACGTGGGTGTGATCCCTGGGTCGGGAAGATCCCCAGGAGGAGGAAATGGCAACCCACTCCGGTGTTCTTGCCGTGAAGATCCCACAGACAGAGGAGCCTGGGGGGCTGCCGCCCGTGGGGTCGCAGAGAGCCGGACAGGACCGAGTGAACAGCAGCAGGGCCGAGACAGGTGCACTGCCCTTCGGGGCTGTCGGCCTCGCGGAGAGAGGTCTGCCACTGTCTTCCCTCTGCTCCTGGCGCTTGAAGGAAGTATTCTCAGGCGTGTGGACGAATCCTTGCCTTTCTCTTGGACAGAGGAAAGGTTGGCGGTGGGGCAGGAGGGGTCCTGAGTGCGCGCTGGGTACAGGGGCAGCTGCTGGGCCACTTCCTCTCACGTGTCCTCGGGGCGCTGCTCTGCACTTGCAGTTGCCCAGGCCCCCGCCCCACGGTGGTAGGGAGCGGTGGCCGTTGCTGGCAGTGCTCATCTGGGCCTGAGCATTGGAGGGGCTTCCAGACTGAGTGTCCAGGTGGTTTTAGGGCAGGAGTCCTGGATGCCTGGGCCCTGCTGGCTCTGGGCAGTCGGGGAGTGCACGCCCCATGGTGCCTGCCTGGGTGCTGGGAGAGCACCTGGAACGCTCTGTTTCCCTGGGAAGTCCTCTGTCTCTCAGCTGTTGATGACTAACTCAGCATTTCCTCAGACACTGTGCCAGCCAGCTAGTCCAGACAGACCTGCCAGAAAGAGAGGGCCTGAAGGCCCCCAGTTTCAGCATGTTTTCATGGAAGGCCCCCACGCAGCTTCAGGACGTTGTCAGGGCCTGCGTCTCAGGGCAGTGATTCCCTGGAAAACCTTTTTGTGGCATCGCTTTATCGATCACGCTGCATCTGTGAAGGGCGCTGCTTACCTAGACATGCTGGGTGGTGGGGGGGCATGTGGTCCTGACCGGACCGAGCCTTTGGTGCCCTTGACCCTGGTCCTTCACAGCCCTGGGAGGTGAGGAAGGTGTGGCTGCCCTTGTGCAGAGGGACTTGCCCTCTGAGGGGCCGCTCTGGCCAGAAGGGGCCAGGAGCTTCTGTTGCAGGTCAGAGTCTTTCCTTCTCCGCACGGTCACACTGGGGCTTGCGGCTTGCTGGCCCCGCGGGGAGGCGCGCAGCAGGGGTGCAGGGGGGCAAGGCCTGGGCAGTGGTCCACTAAGGAATTCACCGGGAGGCCTGTTTTTTCCCAGGTGAGAGGAAAAGATCAGAACAGACTACCTGATGACGGAACTGATAGATGTTCCCCTGCAGCCCGTTTCTGGGAAGGGCAACGGGGGCGTGTGCGGGTGGGTCCCGCGGCCGGAACTCTGCTCTCTGTGAGGGGTGGGCGAGCCCCTGGGGTGGGCGGGCAGCAGGGCACTCAGCCCGCCCCCCTGACGACCTTGCAGACATCGGCCTGGGGAGCGACTCCGTGTGCGCCCGGCCCTCCTCCCACCGGATCAAGTCCTTCGACTCCCTGGGCTCGCAGCCTGCGCACGGCCGGACTTCACAGTTGTTCCAGGGCCAGTACCGCAGTTTGGTAAGTGTGGGCGTGGGCCCCGGCGGCGGTGGTGTGGTGGGGGGCCCGGGCTCGGGAGGCGCTTGGCACGGGGCGGCTGCCCATGCTGCTTTGCCGCTGCTCTCGGGGCTGGTGTTTGCCACCGCCAGATTATCACAGGTCTCACTTCATGTCGACTTATTTCAAGTTGTGCATCCGCTCATCCAGAGGGATGTGGGCTTTGTATGTCCGCTTGTCTGGAGGGATGTGGGCTTTGAGATGTTTTCCTCGTCACTTGCATGGTATTGTCTTTCCTGCTGTACACACGATCAGAAGTTGAGATGCAAGAATCCATGTCTTGTACTTGGATGATGAAGAAGAGGCTGAACGTGGAGGAGCCTCGAGGTGGTTTTTGTCCTTATGAGAGCATGGCTGCAGCGTGTGAGGGGCTCCCTCTGAGTGCTGGTGAGGCGGGGGCCCCCGAGGTGGACAGACCCTGGGAATGAGGCCTCGGGGGCCGTGACGTGCGGGGCTGAGTGGAGCCCGCGGGGGCGGCCGCCACGTCCGCTGGCCAGACTGAGGGCTGCGTGGGCACCAGCGAGCCCCCAGGGCGGACACCGGCCTGGCCCTTGGCTTCACCAGCCGCTGCTGTGACTCTGTTTCGTGCGGCATCCTGGTAATCATTTTGTGTTGGAAACGCAGCGATCTTGTCACGTGAGTCTGAAGAGAACCGACTCTTCCAGTCTTCAGAGGCCACTGCTTTCTGCTTACTGCAGGGGAATGTCGTTCCGTAAGCACGTGGGGATCCTGAAGAAATAAAGCTGGCCTGGTTGGAGCGAGCCTTGTAGAGAGATGCATTTGAGTTAGGTCATGAAGCACTGTTAAAAACGGAGACCTGTAGAAGGGGTATAATTTTTACCTCTTCTTGAACTGCTCGCACTCAGGCTGACTCTCCTGCTGTGTGTGTGTGACTGTCTTCCCTGAGAAGCCCTGGCCCTGTGTCTGACATTGTGAACAGCACAGGCCCCCAGGTGGGGTTTCTTGGTGCTGGCTGGTCAGCGCTTCATGGGGACGGACGCGTGTCACCCCCCACCCCGGGGCTGGAGGGACTTGGGGGCCCTGTTGGGAGTGTCATGGTCCAAAGGAAGGAAGGAGTCCAGACCCCTTGAAAATAGCTGCCTTGTGAAATATATGCAGAAGATGTAAGAACAGTTAGCAAGCTTTGGGCAGAGAAATCTTTGCTGCCTGCCCCATCAACTTGTGGCAGTTTTCATCTGTTTTTCTGTTTGTTTTGTTTTTGTGTAAACGAGAACTGGGTTGCAATTGAAGAACTTTACTAAGTTAAATGTCCTTTTATGATGGATGTTGCTGAGATCATAGTAAGTACAGGACTGATGTTTTGCCAGAGAAGTTCTGTCACACCAGAAATGGAAAGCCCGCGGCCACCTCAGCTGCGTGGTGGGCATGGTGAGCCGCTCGGAGGGAGCGTGGTGAGGCTCCTCCTGACCTGAGGGGAGGACGGAAGCCGAGATGAGACGCTCGTGACTGAAGCCTCCCTTGCTGCGTCTGGGACGGCAGTGGCGCCCCTGGGGAGGGCCGGGCTGGTGCAGCATGGCCCCCGGTCCTGTCCTTGCCTTGGGCCCACGCCCCTTCTTCAGGGTGGGGGGTGCTCAGCAGCTGAGAGTCTGCCTTAGGAGTGAAGGGTCCAGGCTGCCCTGCCCTCTGCTGATGCTGCCCTGTCTGGGCCTTCGTGGAGTGTCCCTGCCTGAAGAGGAGGCACCCTGGTGCTGGCCTGGCCTGGCCTATCAGGAGGCTGTGCGCCGCGTCTTCTGCTGCCTCCTGACGGCCGTGCCCCGCCATTGGGGACGGGCTGGCAGGGGGCTCCCGGGGCAGTGTGACGTCCTTTGGGGCCCGCCCAGCAGGGGGCTCCCGGGGCAGTCTGATGTTCTTCGGGGCCTGCCCGGCAGGGGGCTCCCGGGGCAGTCTGACGTCCTTTGGGGCCTGCCCGGCGCGTTAGTTTGTCATGTGTCACAGTCCATTGTTGGGACTCTTTACCCTGATGGGCTCTGCAAAGCCAGGATGTAGAGCAGAAAGGAGAGTGTTGCGGCTCAGAGTGGACGGCGGGTGAGAGACAGTGATGGCTCACAGCCTGAGGCGCCGGTGGGTGGTGTCCCTGTGGGGCCCTGACCTGCCCAGCCTGCACCTCTCAGGTGCCCCTCACCCTGAGCTTGAGGGGACGGTGCTCAGTCCGCGGTTCCTCCAAAAGCTTACAAGCGATTGCTTTATTGAGTACTTTAGGTGTTAAATATTAAGTTTGCATTAAACGTTTAATTCAGTAGATAAAGATTGATGCATTGATTTGAATTATTAAGTAAACATGATTTATAGTAGCTAGTGTATGTCTAAACAGGTAAATACACATGAACTCTCTCAGGCATCACGTCAGCTTCTCCTCCTGGAACTCTGAGCACTGTCTGTGCTTTCTGTCTTTTTCATCCTGTTTAGTGATACACGCACCTAGTGTAGAGTCAGGTGATTCTCTGAGACTTGCTACTGGGAGAAAATCAATAGAGATGCCGCTTTCCCATTTTTCTACAGGTTCTTCAGTTATTTCTCTGTGTCTCTGATAAATGCCCTGTGTAAAGCCTGTTGTTGTTTTTGAACTGCACAGTGTTGTGGCTGTGGACACCCTGCGGTGAAAGAGGGCGTCCTGCTCCCCCACTGCTGGCCCTTACCTGTGAGGCCCCGGCCCCGCCCGTGTCCTCTGTGCTGGCGGCGCTTTCCCTGCGGTGTCTTTAAAGGCTCAGGCTCTGTGGGGCCTGTCCCTTCCCTGACGGTGTTCTGCGCACCTTTGGCAGATGGCAGTCTGCTCTTTTGCCTTTTTCAAAAGACTCTCCTCTTGGGCATTCAGACGGGTCAGGGTGTCTCCATTTCCTCTTCCCAGGGAGCGTGTGAGGCCTCCGGCCGCCCCCTCAGCCTCCGTCACCACCGCCTCTGGACTCGCTGTGACCCGAGCCCGCCCCTCCACTGCCTCCATCCTCATTCTCTCTTGGTTAGTCCTGTTCTGGCAGAGTGCATCTCACACTAACGTCTTGAGTAAGGGTGCTGTTCGTGCATCTCTGCAGATGTCTTTGTCCAGATACACAGTCTTTTTGTCTTCAGTTTTCTGAAGTCTAGGTATGACATGAATTGGTCCAGATGTCTTGAGGTGCGTCCTGTCTGGGGTCCGTTCGGCGTCTGGGCATGTGTGCATGTGTCTTGTCACGCTTACGGCAGCTGAGCTGCGCTGCTCAGACTCCTTTTCAGCACTGTCCTTTCTCCTCCAGGACTTCGGCTCCAGTGTCAGAGCTTTGTCATTCCTCACAGGTCCCCGGGGGTCTCATCAGTTTCTTTGTTTTTCACTATGTCAGTTTGAGTAGATTCTGTAAGTTCTCTTCCATTTCTGAGATTTTCTGTTTTATTTGTGTTTTGAGAGAGCTCAGCCTCGGTGTTGGTAACTATGTCTTCTCAGTCAAGCTTGAGCTTTTTAATTCGTGGAACAAGGAGCATCTTGGATTCTTCCTTAGTCACTCTGAGAGTGTTGGGAGACGTGGGACCTGCTCACACCCGTGTCTTGGGCCGCGGTCCTGGCTGAGGGTCGCAGGCTGCGGCTCGGGGGCCAGGCTCGGCGACCGGGCGTCCACGGGGTCCTGCTGGACCCCGACTGTTGATGGGGGCCGGCGAGACTCACGGCCCGGCTCCTGCCCCGAGGCTGTGGAGCGCAGGGGCCCGTGCATGTGTGTGGGGTGCGCGTGCGGGCTGACGTGGCCCGAGGAAGGCCTTGCTGGCGGTTAACGGGGTTTCCTCGGGCCAGGGCCTGGGCGGCAGTCGGCACGCGATGCGGGGCAGGGACTCCCGTGTCTCCAGCCGGCCCCCGTGTGTGCCAGGGCGGCTCTGCTGTGGTGCCGAGTCGCACCTGGTCTGATCGTAGTGACGGAGACGCCGTTGTCTTCATGACTTCTCCCTCCCTTGTCCCCCTTTAGGACATGACCGACAACAGCAACAATCAGCTGGTCGTCAGAGCCAAGTTTAACTTCCAGCAGACGAATGAAGACGAGCTCTCCTTCACGAAAGGCGACGTCATCCACGTGACGCGGGTGGAGGAGGGGGGCTGGTGGGAGGGCACGCACAATGGCAGGACCGGCTGGTTCCCCAGCAACTACGTGCGCGAGGTCAAGCCCAGCGGTGAGTCGTCGGCGGGCGGGCGGGTGGGGCAGGGCGAGGCACGGGGCAGTGATGGGCTTGGGATGCCTGGCTGGGCGTGGGTCTGGCCCTGGCGGAGGGTCAGAGCGCCGTCTTTCCTGCCCAGAGGGCCTGGTGTCCCCCAAACTGGAGGCTGGAGAAGGGGCTCCGCATTCAGGCCAGCGTCTCCTGCCGTCGTGACACGAGCGCTTGAAAACAGACTCACTCTGTTCTTTACCGTTTGTGAGGAGAAACCTGTCATGTCTGGTTTTTTTTTAATTTGTGGTTACACATTTATATAAGGTACAGTTCATTACCCTCTTCAGGGCTTGAAGCTTCTGTATCGTGTCGGCTGTGTTAGTTTCTTATCGTGTGTCTTTTCCCAGTCATGTGATGTTGAGCAATTTCTGTCCCTTTCTTTGCACTAATATAGTATTTTAAAATGCATCCTCTTCCATACACTTTCTGTAGTGTCTAACACTGTTTCTTGCACTTAAGTAATTATTCCAAGGCCTATCTGATTGCGGAAAGGAATGGTGGTCCTGGCACCGCTTGCGTTTCTGGCCAGGTGTGCTCACGTCCTGGCACTGCGGGCGCTGCAAGTGCTCTAGGCAGGACACTCCACAGGGTCAGGAGCCTCCTGCCAGGACCTTGGGAGCAGAGGCCAGTGTGCGTGTGCGCGCCGTCTCACAGCCACGCTGCGTCTGTTCCTTGTGCTGCTGGCCTCGTGCGCTTGCTGGCCTGGGCCCCGGGGGCCGCCGTCACTGTGCCCGTGGCGCTGCGGCTGTCCGTCTGAGTCCTTGTGGGCCTCGTGGGTGTGTGGCTCGGCGCGCAGCTGCCGGCTCACGCGGGGCCTCGGTTCCGGTTTTGAGGCCCTGCTGTGCTTCATCCACAGTGCCTGTCACATCCCCATGGCAGGGCACGGGGGCTCCTGTTTCTCCATGTCTTTGCCAACACTTGTTGTTTTTTGTTTTTGTTTTTGTTTTTTTTTTTGGATAATAGCCATCCTAACGGGTGTCAAGTGGTATCTCATTGCTGCTCTTTTTTCTGTAGTTGGTCATAAAAACAGTATTTGTTCATCATCATTAGAATAGAGTCAACAGTAATAGCCAGATGTTTGTGTTCTGCTTCCTATATAAAGTGCTTTTTATCTGTGACTTTCAGTCCTCACCACAGCCCCAGAAGACAGTGTTGTCGGGATATTCAGGGCATAGGGTGAAATAATACCCTCCTCTCAACACTCTCCTGTTAATCTGTCCCCAGGCAGAACCAGCCAAGAAGCACAGTGCTGGCGTCCAGCCGCCTGCGTTACAGACACGGCTGCTGGGAAACATGCCTTAGGCTGCAGCTTGGCTGGACTCGCCAGCAACCGCCAGCCCGTCCAGGGGCAGCCCTGGCTGCCCTGGCAGCCTGAGTGCTGGGGAGGCCGAGCAGTCCTTCTGGGGCTGAGAGTGCACTGGGCCCTTGGAGGGGGAGGTTGAGCGTGAGGTGGTCTTTCCCTTTACCAAGGAGATCCCGGAAGTCACAGAGCTGGTGATGGGCACGCCCTCAAGAGGTCGCAATGCTGGCAGAGGGGCGTGTCCCAAGAGGGTCTTGGAGCTGGTGAAGGAACAAGCCATAAAGAGTGGGTTCTGCTGATTGTGTAGACATCTGTTAAATCTGGGCTTCTTGAATTCTGCTGTGAACAGCTCTTAAATGTAAATTCTGGTCTGATGTTGAGGCATCATAGTAAAAGTGTGAATGAGTACAAATGAACTTTCCTTTCCAGGTATTTCTCCTCCTGAAGTTTCCAGAGTTAGCCTTGGGAATGACACTGCAAAGATAGGGCTGTTTTCAGGTGGACGTGTGTGTGGTCAGCGTCGTCTGTGGTGGGCTCTGGGTGTGCAGCAGCCCGGCAGGTGTATTCTGCTCCTAGCCCTACTTCTGGGGCCACTGAGCATCGTGGGGAGGGGGCAGACACAGCTCTAAGAACCAGCCATCACGTCTCATGAGTTACCTGTGTCAGGAGTAGCCGCATCACTTTGTTCTGCCTGTGATTCCCGCTTCTCTGACTCAGTCCTGTGTTTCTGTGTGTGTGTATCTGAGGCCCCTTTAGTTGCATGTGAGTAACTGTGTTGCTGTCACACAGCCCCTTGCAGGGCTCACGTGGAATCCCTAGTTTCATGCCACACTGAGACTCAAGTAACTGAAAACTTTGCTCGTGTTCCTATTGCGTGTTTGCTCAGATGTGTGGCCTGTTCGGCTGGGGGTGTCTGTTTGGTGGCTGAGCTGAAGGAATCATTACTTTGAGGGGTGAGCTTCCGTTCCTGCTGTCCTCGGTCGCTCGAGTCTCTTTCACGGGGAGCTGTGCCATGTGACTTCAGACGTGGACGTTTGAGAAGGAGAGACGCGAAACCATGTTTCTACCATATTGCTTTGTAACAGTCGAGAGTGAAAATCCGGGATCATGGTGACACTTGTGTAATTGCATTTTTTCTTTTTTAGTAATTTGTATGACTTCATGATTTTGGAATAGATTTCGTTTTTTTTAAGTGCAGGTTTAATGTAAACATTGTGATTTGCAGTGTAAGTTATCTTTCATTTTCTGTAAACAAAACATGCCAGGTCCCAGCATACAGATTCCTTCCTCTTAAGTGGCCATTGTGGCAGGAGTTTTTCTCTGTGTTAAGTTTTTTTAAATTTTTTTCCTGTGTTTTGATTTGGTTTACAGATATTTTTATTGAGTACCCAAAGCTGAGGTCTCCTCCGTGATGTCCCCTGGGGTTGTGTGTCTCCAGGTGAGCTGTCTGGCTTCTCTTGGCAAATGCGTGGCCGTGCTCACCTGCCCCCTCCTGGCTGCGGACGGCAGTGCTCTGCTTGCACCTGGGGCCTGAGTGTGGTTTCTGGTTTGAAACAGTCCTTTTGAAGACAGGAATACTCCCTCAGAGATCCAGTTCCTCAGACCTCTTCCAGGGTCTGTGTGAGGATATTTCAGAGTTCGCTGCGGACGTGTTGGTTGTCCTTTCTGAGTACGTGCTGTTTGACGGAAGGTGTATGTCAGTGTGCCTGAACGTTTTCTGTGGACACTCTTTTGGTATGTAGAACTCATTTTATTCACTCAGTTCATGTGTATTTTACACACACAGAGACACGTGCGGTGGTTTCTTGAATGTGCGGAGTGGAAGGCAGGCTGCCAGGAGGCTTGTCCTGGAGCGCTGGCACTGCTCTCGGGCGCGGGGCGCTGGGTCCAGTGGTTGGAACGTGGGCGCCGCGGGGCTCGGGAGCCCCACGTCCAGGGTTTCGCCTCTGACACATTGAGCTGGTGTCCTGCGTTCCTCATGGTGCACGGACCACACTCACCTGCTGCCCGCTCCTCAGATTTCTCCCTTCCCGCTTCCCTCCGCCCCGCCTGTCCGCCGGGATTTCGTCTTAGACCACAGGGCTCGTCTCTAGAGACTGTTTCCTTCTTTCCAGACGCCCTTCATTGTCGTGGTGCCTCTTCACTCTTGCGGGCCCCGTTTCTTTCGAGGTGTTTTCGGCATGCACGCCGTAAGCCCCCTAGGTGGCCATGTTATTTCTGCGTCTCGGGGCTGGTCCCCTTGGATGGTTCCTGTTCACACTCCCTTGGCGCCCGAGTTCTTCAGCTTGTTTTCTGTCGGCTGTTCTCCGCTGGCTAGCTGTTCGGTGGGCGCCTCCTTTCCTGACGGCTGACCTTGCTTCTGGGCCCCAGAGAGCTTTCTCGCCCTTGGAAAGCCCCGAGGGTCCTCAGGAGGAGGTGTGGCTTTGGATCGCACGCTGGGCGGGTCAGGTTCCCTTCGGTCTCTCCCAGGCTGTGTCCGCCACCCCAGAGCAGCGTCTCCGGCCGCCTTCCTCTCAGGAGGCGCGGGGCTCTGGGGCCCCGTGTGCTGGGCCGGGGCCGCCCTGCACCAGTGCTGCGTGCTCCGCAGCCTTCGCTGCTTGCCGCACCTGGTGGGAGGGTCCCGGCTCCCTTTTCTCAGCATGTCTGTGTCTACGTTCTGTTACCAGCACTGTGTAACATTTACTGCGTGAAAGGGGGGACAGGCTGCCTGAGTTGCCCTGGAAGGTGCGCTGTTCCATCCTCGGGGCTCCCTGCTCTCCTCACAGGGGGTGGAGTCTGTTTTTAGCTCTTGGGTGGGCCACAGAATGTTTTGTTTTGCTTAGGACGCTAGGAAGGCTCCGTGTTTTAAGATCTGTTTCCTGTGCGTTTTCCTCTGTTACAAGTGGCCGTGACTGACCTCTGTCGTGTTGCGTTAACACGTCCAGGTTCTCTCTCGAGGTGCTCGAGGCCCCTGGGGCCCGCAGGCCTGCGGTTCTGCTGCCTGCACCTCCACGGACACCTGTCCCTGCAGCGCCAGTCCCTGCCCTCCCGACTCTCCTTCAGGGGGCGCCGAGCCTTCTGCAGAGGGCGCGTGGCGGCCCCTCCGTGTGACAGCTCAGGGAGCGTCTGGACGCAGCGTGTTCCTGGCACCTCCCAGCCTAGAGGATTCTGTCTGGAGCCCCGCACGTTGTATGCTCTCCTTTTTTTTTTTTGAGTGAGAAAAGACAACCTCTTTGGACCTAGACCTTGATTTGTCTGGGTCTCTTCTGCCTCTTGTTTTTGTAGAATGTTCGCCTGTAGCTTGCTTTTGAAAACCTTTTTCTTTTGGTTCTCATAGTAAGGTGATTAAATGTTATTAACTGGTGTGGAGAGGTATGTCTTAAACTTAAGAATTGATAAAATGAGGCGGTTGGCAAATGGTTTGCTTTTAAAAAATTGAAAGCAGATTGAAGTCACTCATGAATTAAGCTCGCCTGGCCTGTGTTGCCGTGTGACTTCTTTTTGATCCCAGGGCTGTGGTTCAGGCTCAGCCGTCTCCACTTTCCTGTCGTTGCAGATGCCTCCTCCAGATGGCGTGTTTTAAGGAGGAAAAGGCATTTTTTTTCCTTCAGATGGAAACATCAGTTTTTCTTCCACAGTTAAATGCTAAGATGCAGATATAAGAATAGGGAGGGAAGTTTTCCTTCTTGTATCTCTCGTGGCTTAAAAGTCACTTATTTCCCTTGGAGTTCTCTTTTCCATTCCGTGGACAGAGAGAATTGTTTCAGCTGGGAATAGCACCTTCTGTTTTGTTCTGTATTTTCACCCTTTTGGAAACCCTCACAGAGAGACACTGAAGGAAGACTGAGGTCAGCCGCTCCACAGGAGGAGGGGGACCCACAGCTAAAGATCGGCATTTTGCTTTGGGCTTTTTATGGGTTTCCGGTACTGAGAAGCTCATGGAAATGCTGAGCACATGGGATCTGGGACCCGGTGTGCGAGGGTGTTTGGCGGGCAGTGCTGCCAGAGAGAGAGGCCCTGGACAGGTGTGGTCAGGGGCACCGCCAGCCGTCTGTGGCAAGGCCCTGTGGAGGAGGTGTGGGAGGATGCGGAGTGTGCCCGTTAGAGTTTCCCCTCTCCCCCGGCCAGCCGTGGGCCACTACCAGCCTCTGTAGCTGGAGACCCAGGGGTAGACCTCCCCGCCCCTGCAGAGCCTCGGTGACAGACACAGCCCCTCTCCGAAGCAGGGACTGACGGGCACTCGCGCACACGCTCGAGCCACAGAGTCAGCCGCCAGGCGCTCCTCCAGTGCCTGTGCTGAGGAAGTCTGTCTTGAGTGGAGTTGGATGAAAGGCCTGCGATGCACTTGAATCCTTGCAGTAACCGTGACCACTTTCCTTTGGTTGTGGTTTGGAGGTTCTGAAGACAGTGTGGCTTTTCTCAGCGCCCTGCCTGGGGTGGCTCTCTCCTCTGTCTGTCGCCTGTGTTAGCAGGCCCTCTGCGCTCTCAGTGACCTGGGCCCCTCCAGATGCACTCCAGCCTGCGGGTCTTGATGTCCTAACACTCTTAGGTGTCTGCCTGCGTTCCCTCTGGTTCTGGGGGCCGGACTTCACCCATGCTGCACCCTGAGCTGACACGTGGCTCATGGGTTCTTTTGTTTGTTGACGGCAGCGGTGTGTAATCCGTGAGGTGCTCAGCTGAGCGGGGAGGCTGGGCTGGGTGGGGAGGCCCAGCTGTGGGGGTTTCTGACTCCCGGGAGCTGACCGTGAGGAGGGGGTGGGGGCTGGGGCCTCTTGGCCACATGCACTTCTGCTCCACCTCCCTGTGGTCTGGGGCTCAGCTGGAGCCAGAGGCCGGGCCGTGGGGGCCGCTGCGCTCGGTGGTCTGGGCAGGAGCCATGAGTGAACCTGCCCTCCCGTCTTTATTTCAGAGAAGCCCGTGTCACCGAAATCCGGAGCCTTGAAGAGCCCTCCCAAAGGATTCGATACAACTGCCGTTAACAAAGGCTACTACAGTGTGGTGAGTGACTGAGGGGATCTTTTAAAGAATAACTTGTTTTTTCGATGTCTGAAACTTGACGTGTAGGATGGGGGTTGCCTGGAGAAGGGGGTGCCAGCCATGCGTACTCCTGCTCCCGGGGTCATTCTGGGACATTCTTATGTGTTTGTGTGTGCAGTTGTCCCTGTTCTTGTTGCATAACCTGGTGTTGGGATTATTTCCCCATATGGTTTCCAGTCTTCAGCATGGGATTTTAAAAAGGTCATAATGTGATAGGCAGATTTAAGTGCCCTTAGGCTCATATTCAGAGTAGGTTGTCAGTTCTCTAGACCAGTACAGTGTTTAGTTTATTTTGTGTGTTACCATAGTTTTTCCTGGGATTGATGTGTGTATATATGTAAATAGCATGAAGTTACAGGTGAGCATCTGGACATTGTACATAGTGAAGGCAAGTGTTTCAGAATCCTGAAACTTGCTGCCTTTTGAAACCAGAGCAGTTTGTGAGCTTGAAAAATGCCCTTGATAGTGAGTCTCACACCTGACCCAGTCGCCCTGTGCTCCTAGCTGCTGCCTCTACTGTGGACTCTCGGGCCTCCTTCTCTTCCCCTTTCTTGGGTGAGACACTGCTTTCCTTCCTGAGGAGGCTGTAGCGGGCAAGGAGTGCCATCCTGATTCCCAGTGATGTCCCGGGGCGGGAGCCCCTTGCTTTTGTGTCCATCGGGGGTTGCATCAGAGGACTCCCGTCTGTGTCCATCGGGGGTCATATCAGAGGACTCCCGTCTGTGTCCATCGGGGGTCGTATCAGGACTCCCGTCTGTGTCCATCGGGGGTTGCATCAGAGGACTCCCATCTGGGTCTGTCCAGGGGTCGCATCAGAGGACTCCCATCTGGGTCTGTCCGGGGGTCGCATCAGAGGACTCCTGTCTGTGTCCATCGGGGGTTTGTATCAGGGCTCCAGTCTGTGTCCGTCCGGGGGTTGTATCAGGACTCCCGTCTGTGTCCATCGGGGGTTTGTATCAGGACTCCCGTCTGTGTCCATCGAGGGTCGCATCAGAGGACTCCCGTCTGTGTCCATCGGGGGTTTGTATGAGGACTCCCGTCTGTGTCCATCGGGGGTTTGTATGAGGACTCCCGTCTGTGTCCAGCGGGGGTTGTATCAGAGGATTCCCGTCTGGGTCCATCGGGGGTTGTATCAGGACTCCAGTCTGGGTCCGTCGGGGGGTTGTATCAGGACTCCTGTTTGTGTCCATTGGGGGTTGTATCAGGACTCCCGTCTGTGTCCATCGGGGGTTGTATCAGGACTCCCGTCTGGGTCCGTCCGGGGGCTGTATCAGGACTCCCGTCTGTGTCCATTGGGGGGTTGCATCAGAGGTCTCCCATCTGGGTCCGTCCAGGGGTCGCATCAGAGGGCTCCCGTCTGTGTCCATCGGGGAGATGTATCAGAGGACTCCCGCAGGGGCCCGCAGTGCTGCCCTCGTCTCCGGGAGCCCCGCTCCCGCCGGGTGCTGTGTGGAACCAGGTAGCCGTGCTTCCCGGAGGTCCGGTAGTAGCATGTGGCCCTCTTTGGATTGAAGCGTGACCAGTGCCCTTCCAGAGGTCCGTCCATTTCTAGCCGCTCTCACACAGGGGGAGGAGCCCCGTGCACAGGGCCTGCTGACTCTGAATCGGGGGAGGGGACACCTTAACTTCAGTCTCACGTCCAAACTGTTGTGTACGTAGTGCTGAGAGCATAAACAGCATGTCGAACAGCCTGTGTGGTTGTTAGTACATCAGCGTGGAGAGTGTGGAAACCATCTTTCAGCCTCGTGCTCCTTTTACAAAAGTGAACAAACCCGGTGAGTGACTAAGCCAGGACTTAGTTTCAGCTTGCCTGAGCTCCATGTTTGTAAATTACACAGGAAGGTAAAGTGTGGGGCACACGGCACGCCTGGGCGATTGGAAGAGACTCCAATCGCACACTCCGCAATTTCACACTCTGCCTGTCGCTGTGCTTTCGTGGACAGCCGCACACGGGACAGGCACTTCACCGCACTGAGGGGCGAGCACCCGGTCGGGGGTGAGGCCAGCGCGGGCTGAGGTCACGGGAGGGTTTGGGGCCAGTGACTGGAGAGTGCTGTAGGTGGGGGGTGCCGTGGCTGGGGGAGTGCCCGAGGTGGGAGGGTGTCAGGGGTGGGGGAGTGCTGTAGGTGGGAGGCGTGTCAGGGGTGGGGTAGTGCTGTAGGCGGGAGGGTGTCAGGGGTGGGGGAGTGCCCGAGGTGGGAGGGTGTCAGGGGTGGGGGAGTGCTGTAGGCGGGAGGGTGTCAGGGGTGGGGGAGTGCTGTAGGCGGGAGGGTGTCAGGGGTGGGCGAGTGCCCGAGATGGGAGGGTGTCGGGTGGGCGAGTCCCTGAGCTGGAGGTGGTGCAAACATTTGGAAGTTAAGGCGTGAGTGGGGAGGGTGTGTGTCTGCTGCTGTTGTGCGAAGGTCCAGACCAACCACGACAACACCGGGGAGAGGACGAGGATCTCAGTGGTTCACAGCCGTCCTCGGGCTAGTTACGCCTCTCCCTCCCCTGTCTCTGGGACGCCCACTGAGCATGTGTTGGCAAGCACTGGGTGTCACGCAGGCCTCCGAGGTGCTGTTCATTTTTCTTCTTTTTTTCCTGTTCTAGGGAGCGTAAAATCCCTGTGGGTCTTTTTGTGTTGCTCAGTTTTCTGGCCTTGAGCCCCTCTAGTGAAGTTTTCATTTTATTTGTTGTAACTCTCAGTTCACAGATTCCATTTGATTCATTTATGGGTCAGTACATTCTGTATTTGAGTCATTGTTCTCATACTTTAAAAAGTTCTTTAAGCATAGTTTTCTTTAGTTCCTTGGACACTGTGTCAAACAGCGCAGTTTAAGTTGACCGTGCCCTTGAGAGAGAGCTAGCCCCCTGTAGCCCCCGCCCCACAAGGTGCGACCCCTCCTCCTCAGCACCACTCAGCAGGCGGGCCGCAGCTCACCAGGTGAGCCAGCTGACACAGGCCCCCGAGTCCAGGACTCACTGCGGCGTTCCCTGCACCCGCTGTGGCTCCGTCCTTACAGCGCCAGCCGTTTCAGGGCCTGAAAATCCTCTCTGTCTTGCCTGTTCATTCCTTGCCACCCTCACCCCGACCCCTGGGGACCCTGATCTTTATAGTGTCTGAGTTGAATCATCCGGATTGTCAACTTTTCTGTTGGGTACCTGGTTGAGTTCCTAGAGGTAAATTGCCCCAGACTGGGTGCGGGGGATTCCCACCTGACTCTGTCCCCCCAGGGATTTTAATGCTCAGGCCGGTCCAGTTACAGCCTCCGCTGCGGGCAGTGAGACTCACCCTGGAGGCAGTGACCTCGCATCCCTCCCCTTGTGGATATGAGAGGAGCTGTTGATTTTCGGTCTCTTTGGTTTTTATCTGTTGTTGGGTGTATGACCACTCTCATGCTCCTCACCTGCAGAACCAGAAAGTGTTTCTCAAAAGAGAAACAGTTTGTAGAATTCTGAAAACACGCAAGCCTTTAATGTAGTATTTCTGATTCTTGAAATCCACCCCAGAAAAATTACCTGAGATGATTTTAGAGATTTTTGTGCGAGGATGTTTTCATAGGATGCTTTGTTTAGCAATAAGCTGCAAGCAACCTAAGTGTAGCCACGTACCGATGCCTCAGACACCAGTGGTGGATCCATTTCTAATTCTTAGAGGTGCAAAGGGGGCTTTAAAAAACATCAGCTCGTGTTTTCATTTTAAGTACAATGAGCCGAATATAAAGTTAGGCAGGTAATGCGATTTTGTTGTGTAAAAGTGTTATCACTGAAAGTAGAAGGCAGTGTGCCAGGGAACGTGGCGGAATTGTACTCCTCAGTAACGCTAGTAAAGGAGGCTTGGAGGGCTGCTTTGGCCCTGGAGCTCAGGCTGGATTGGAATGTCACCAGGAGTAGAGACCTCGGGTGGTGGAGTCGGGGCTCAGACACGGAGGGTCACAGTGGAAGAAGAAACCCCATGACTTTGCTTTACACGAAGAGTTGACCCGTTTTTGGTGACAGAGCCCGGCAGGACGGTTTATTTTCGAGTGTGAGACGTGTTTCAGTCTCCAGTCAGTGAATGGTCAGGAGCGCCCTTCTTTAGGTGCCTGGTGGGGGGTCATGCCTTGTGTGCAGTGTTTGATGCCCTGCTGTGGGCTGGCCTGGGGAAGGCCCCCCGCTGCCTGCACAGTCATGTCTCTGTAACCGAACGCTGGTAATGCTGGCCTTGGCCTTGTAGCATTAAGGTGGTTAGCAGTTGGCCTTAAGGTGCCTCGTAAGTGTTGGCCCTTAAGAGGTTTTCATGGTTATCTTGTTGTTTAGTCACTCAGTCGTGTCCATCTCTTTGCGACCCCATGGACTGCAGCACGCCAGGCCTCCCTGTCCATCACCAACTCCCACAGTTTGCTCAAAGTCCTGTCTACTGAGTCGGTGATGCCATCCAACCATCTCATCATCTGTCATTCCCTTCTCCTCCTGCCTTCAGTCTTTCCTAGCATCAGGGTCTTTCCCAAGGAGTCAGCTCATCACATCAGGTTGCCAAAGTATTGGAGCTTCAGCTTCAGCATCAGTCCTTCCAGTGAATATTCAGGGTTGATTTCCTTTAGGATTGACTGGTCCCAGGGACTCATGGTTATTAGGGAGTGTGTTCAGAGCGTTTGAGGCCACCATACCATTCTGTTTGCAGACGGGCATCCCATTTGAGGATTAATTACCCAGGGCGGTAGTCAAAGGTGACGGGATTGTGTAATTAAAGGGAGCAAGTGTGTGACCTCTCTGAGCTTGGTGGGTGTGACAGTGAAAGGAATCGGCTGCGCTTCTGGCCTGGTGACAGACCCCCGGCCAGGGGAGGTCAGGGAAACCCTTCTCTTGGAGAAGCCGGATGCCCACTCTTTAGGGGGTGGACAGTATTCTGGCACCTCTGCTAGGGGACAGCAGGCTCCCCATCACCATCAGAGAACGAGCCTTCCTGACTGTGTCCTCTGGGAGAGCAGGCTGTCAGGATC